AGCTCGTTCGACGTCGCGTAGTTGAAATGGACAGCGTCGGTGCAATGGCGGCTGCCAACACATGTGGTTACACGTGACCACCCACGTCAGATCCATCTCAGAGCTTATTGGTTTGAAAATTAACTTAGTTTTTACTATTATAAAATATTCAACACTTAATAAAACTACTCCGTGATACATTTCTTAACTGTATCAAACACAGTAATTCTCTTAACCACAAACCTAAATCAAAGCGAACAAATTTCACAAAATACGCATAGTGCATATATATGTAATAGATGTTAATACTTAAATATGGCAGTATTTAAATATGCCATGCATAAATAAACAAATTCCAGATTTTTAGTAAGGGAAAAAAATTTGGAAATTCACATATGTTGTATACATAAGATAAATTTTTAGCTCTAGAAACGAATTTAATTTTACGAAACCTTCGCTTTAGAAATACACTTAGAAATACCATCGCTTTAGAAATATACTTCGTATACTACTTTTACAATATGTACAGAAATATAAATAAATAACTAAAGAAAGAAATAAAACGAAATATAGCTGATAAGGCCTGTACATTTCTGAGATATTTAAAAAATAAATAAATAAATAAAATTAAATTAAAAAAAAAAAAGAGGAATATAATGCGGGGCTGAAACTTCGGCTTCGACACGGGTTTATAATTTGAAAAAATCATATCGAATTAGAATTTTACAAATAATTCTGTTGATAATATTAAACATGGTATATTTAACCAGAAATGAGTTTTTAGCGAACTGAAGATTTCATGCTTGTTGAGTCCATTTTCAGGTGCAATAATGAAAACAATTTTTAAACTATTTAGATGAACTGTTTTAATTTTTTTAAAAGGTTCGTTAATAACAAAATCTATTTTTTTTTAAATGTATAAACAAATGCACCTTTTTTACGTAGTGCACGTTTCGTTCTATAGTAAGTTTGTTCTTGTGCTAGTAAGAAAGCTATTCTTCCTTATCAATTCTAAACTATAAAGATTATTCACATAATTTAAAAAGAAAAAAAATAAAGTAAACAGGATATGAATTTGAGCTGTTGACATAAAACATTTAACATCTCTGAAAGTGTAATTAAAATAACTAGTAATGGTTGGGCATTTTTTTAACCAAACTTTCAACTTTTTTGTTAACTAATTTTAAAACTTTATACCTTTTTCCCTGCTGTCTTAGTCAGTAAAAACATTTTGATAAATTCAAAATAACTAACCTTATTATAATAAACATATAATTAAGCTTTTAAATGAACTATGTTTATTTATCTTAATTATTGGTATATTTCATTAAATTATTAACTAACCCGTTAGCAGTTTCGAAAGATTGTATCCGAAGTACAAGGTTATAATATTCAAATAAATGCAGCGTTTCGGTATTTCGCGTTTTTATTTTCAGTAGTTCGCGTTCTAATATTCGTTGCTCCAGCTTTATTTATTATATAATTTTCTATCCAACTATTTATATCAAAATCGAAAAAAAATATTATCAGATTAAAAAATTTTCTTTTAAATCCCAAATAAAATGCTCAGTATACAAGCGCATTAAATTTTCGCATTTACGTCACTAATGGAGAAAATTAAACACAAAAAACATGAAATATCACTACAGTCACTGTAGAAATAATGAAATAACACTTTTGTTTCCATAAATTAATGTTAAAAAGCGTTAATTCCCTCGTTTCGCATACACTGCTCAACGACAAGCAAGTGACCAAGTTCACGCGAAAAATGCGTATTTCGGTTTTTTAAGAAAATAAGTTCCAAAAATCCAACTGAAAGCTTATATTCCAGAAAAAATGCACCAAACAGTATCCTAATGAATGAATTTACATATTTAAAATAAAATTTATCAGGCCCTATCATAAATTTATGATATTTAAGAGCTGGAAGTTCATTGTCAAATTTAATGACAGCAGCACTAGCCAAACCAATAACGCTATATTATTACAAGTACCTTTTAAAGGTAAAAAAGGATAAAAAAACTACTTAAAAATATATGGACGGCAAGAGAGATAAATAAACTGAAATGTTTGATAAAAATATGCTGTTTTAGTATTACGGGCTTTGATATATTAACTTAAATTCGCAGAAATGCAAAATACGGGATGGCAACAGCAATAGTTAAATCTTAGGATTTCAACCCCATATTTTATTTTTACAACTTTTTATGATTTATATTTTTTATATAAGAAAAACTGAAGGTATAAGATAACGAAAGGAATTTATTTATTTATATTTGTCATTACATTTGCTTTTTTATAACACAACACAAGATTTTTCATCTTTTCCATCAGTATTTATTACGATGAAAGTGCATTTCTTAAGCGCATATTCTATTCTATATGAAAATAATGCGAATAATTTAAGAAAAACTTAAACAGAATAATTTATTTTTAAAGAAAAAGTTAATTTGTTACTTTTTTACAATCGTAGCGTAAGAATAAGTGATAAGAAAGAAAATGTCTTAACAGATTCGCTCACGACAGGGACGCGAATGACCACCCCATTCGTTTTCAAAACAGGACAAAATGAAATTAGAATATCTACATTATACCCTCGCCGCCAAAAAAAAAAAAAAAATATTAAGACAAAGATTATTATTACTAACAGAAAGTTCAAAATGCAATCTTATATAAGAAGATTATTACATAACTTCCAACAAGTCTATAACGACTACTGTACGTAACGAGTCAAGTTAAAATGATTAACACATCAGAGTGAGCTAACATTGCTTTATTAATAATAAACGTTTAGTAACCAAGCCAGTTGTAACTTAAAAATAGAACAGTGGCAAATCAAATATCAGAGTTTTTCTGTTATAGCAAATCAAAGTTATAAAAGAACGTAGGGATTCTCAGTTATAATAAAAGAAACACAAGAATGTATGTTATTACATCCCTAAAAACGGAAACGAAACAGAATGTTAAAATTAAATTATAGCTACGTTCTTCCTGGCATTAGAATACGATCGAAAATATATAAATAATGATAAGTTTATTATGCTGTACAATAAACTATAAAAATCGCAAGCGGAACATATTGGCAATTTAAAAAAAAAAAAAAAAAAAAAAAAAAAAAAAAAAAAAAAAAAAAAAACATCGATAATAAAATCTGATAATATTAACACCACGATTATAATTTAGAATTAAATTTTTTAATAAAAAATGAATGCACAAATAAAATTCTGTAAACAGCTATTCATTATCGCCCGAAAAGAAAATTTTCGGGACTTCTAAAGTTTTCGCTGCCCTATCCCCCGAACTTTTGAAAATGGGAAAAGTCCATTATTTGTTAAAAGAAGTCTTTCAAAAAAAAAAAAAAAAAAAAAAAAAAAAAAAAAAAAAACTGATAACAAAAATGTAATTATTAATATATTAGGTTACTTAAAATGTCAGAAAACTGCTGTTGGCATGGAAAATGTTTCAAAATTAAGAAGCATTATAATGAGGACATTATATTTTAATCGAAAATTTTGACCATAATTTCCCCTTTACAGCTCAAAAAAAGAGTGAAGCAGTTTAAACGTTCCACACCCGTTCGAAATACAAATAATAATTTTAATATAATGCTAAAATAATATAATCAATATAGTAAAAAAAAAACCATGAAAAACATAAAAGTTAATTTAAAATGAACGTATAAATGTTTTTCAGCTTTGCGTATTTATTTTTCTACATATACCTTTTGAAAAATTTTATTAACTTTCATTTAGTGTGCTTCAGATATTAGACTTTTGAAAATTTTCAGGTTATTTAATACTATAAAAACAGGATTAACACTTTGATGAAGACATTTTTGCTATTTTAATTAAAATTTGTGAAGCCTTGTTCACTACTACAAATGTACAACAGGCTTTAAAAATTATTACACAATTAAAAAAAATTATGGAAAGACACAAATTTTTAAAAGCAGTTATAAGCAAAATAATACTTATACACGGCTTACTTCTTAAAAAAAAATATCAAGAAAGTTGTAGAATAAAAACGGAAGGAAAATGACAAATCGAACTGGGGAAAAAAAAAAAAAAAAAAAAAAAAAAAAATCAATATTGTGCAATTTTGTGTTTATAATTCCTTTTCCGAAATATTATATATCAACATTACAAATTTTTGTAAAATTAAAAATTGTTTTCTCTCAACAGGAACAGGCTTTCTATATTGTGGATATTTAAAATATCAATTTTCAATTACATTGTATTTATTTATCAGTAATACATCAATTTTTATTTACATGTACGTAAACATTTGTAAACAAGAACACAAAGCGAAAAGAAAGTATAAGATAAGAATTCTGTGAATTAAACAATAATATAGGTTTAAATTTCTAACATAGAATTCTTTTAATCCTTCATTTATGTCCATTACATTAGAAAGAAACAAAACAATTAAATTCTAATTAACAATTTCTAATGCAAGAAAAAGAAATTCTTTACTAATACTAATTATTATTTATACAATTACAGCCGATGAAAAATTTAATTTTCTCGAGAATCTTTTGTTTTCATTTGATGACTACTTAGATCAAAATAGTAAAATTAATTTCTTCAGATATTACCAAATTTTATTATCTATTATACAATCTACTTGTTAAGAATTAAACTTCTTCAAGTCGCAATAGTTTGCCTATTTTTCACTCCTACTCTAGTTATTAATATTATTACATAATCATTAAACAAGCCCTCAAATATTACGTTTCTGTACTTTTAATTCTCTTTTAATTTTTAGAGACAATTAATTAAAGCCTGAAATGTGTAAAAGAATGTAATTAAATAATCATAAAACGATGAGAACGTGACAAAACTTGAGGTTTAAAATTAAAATAAAGAAATACGTGACAAATAAAATTCAGGCACAGGAAGTTAGTCGCCTAACACATGCCCTATCTTATCACAAAGGCTGAAAAGAACCATAACAAACCAAATCTTTAAAAAAAAAAAAAAAAAAAAAAAAAAAAAAGAAATAGATTAACAATCAGTACTTACCCGAAGCACTTCATTCCGAATCCAAAGTATAAAATCCAATATGTGCCGCTCAATATGATATAGTGGAACTATCTCAAAGATAGTATCCTAACACAAATAATACACATACACAATACACACTGAGCAACGGGGCATTCAAATTAAGGACACAAGCAGACACTTTTTCGCTCGCACCGAAGACGTTCCGATCCGTACACTGTGAATGAAATTGCCAGTTTGCCTGGCACCGGCTGAAACTTTCGGAACCGGAAATACGTCACCAGCAAATGATTATTATTTATTTCTTTTTCCTTTCTAACATTACCCTCCCATTTTTTTTTTTTTTTTTTCCTTCTTTCCTCAATCATTCGAAATTCCTGCACGAATTTAGAGGCAAATTAGCATTCCATCTTTACAAGATGACTTCTGATGAGCAAAAGACGGCAGTGGTTTGCTTTAGTTACGCTTGTTTCAAAATAAGCATTCAATTTCTTTGTTGTCTAAGGATACCTGTCATGTACAGCTGTTTGATAGGATTAGAAGCGTGGGCAGTCATCGCCGATAGATGGCGCTACCGCACAAGCAGCGTACACGTTGGAATGTTATGAATGAAGTGGTTGTCCAATCAGAAGGCGTGGATTGTTGTACGGTAGGAAAGGGATTTAACTTTCAGACGACAGCACCCCCCCCTACTCTCTAGCATTCTTTTTATTATTGCTGGATCGCTGGCTGCAGACGAACAAAAGTGGTCTGCTGGAGATCCGAGAGAAGGGAAGAAATACCACGTGGGAAACAACTTCAACGTGGACTTGTCTTCGGATTGAAGTGCGAGCTTACAAAGAACATCCGGATATTAAAACAGCTCTAGCTACATTGCAATGACCTTAGCTCTGTGTACACCTTACTCGGTTTCTTTTTAATCTTTGATCCCTAATATAAATACTACCTCGACGCGAAATCATTTAGATATTCACAATTTAATTTCAAGGCGAAAACTTGCCAAATTCAGTAAACTTGAATATTCATGTGTTTCATTCGTATAACATTTTCAGAGCATTTAAAATTAAGTAACAAGAGGATAGCTGTTTTAATAGCCAAACTACATTGAGGATTATGAACTCGGTTCTCTTTTACGAGAATGCTATCATTTTATTTAAATTTTGAAGAGGTGTTATTGTTTCAGTTTCCATAAAATCGCGTTCGACATAAACAGACGTTGTTGATCGGTGATAAATAAGATCTTTAATTTATTTTCACTATTTTAAAAATGTATCGTTGAATTAATTATGTAAAAATTGTTTTGTCTAAACTTATTAACAACATTTTTGAAAAATTCTTATTCTGAAGCAATTTTTATCCATTAATGTCAAAGTAAAATAAATTTCTAACACTGTGTAATAGATAAACTGAAAAATTTCTAACATTACTTCTATTTATAAAAATATATAGAATGTTAGCCTCGTTTTTCCCCTTTGTCCAGCCCACCAGCTGCCGAGCGGTAAAGTCGCTGAACACTGGTAGCTCGGTGCGAGGTTTGAAACCCGGGAACGGATTGGCTGCATGGACTTTTTTGTGGTTTACCCCATGCAGGGGCGTAGCTTGAGGGGGGCATCTGTCTCCGGCCGCAAAATCCAAGGGGCGCCAAACTGATGTTACGACATTTTAGAATTAAATGTTTACCATCCTTGGCAAGTAGTAGGGGGCGCGAAATCTTCAGTTGTCCCTGGGCGCTGAAAACCCTAGCTACGACTCTGACCCCATGTGTAACGCCATGGTGGTAGGAAGTAAGATGGAGTGGCTCGAACCAGTTTTCCCAATATCCTGCTTTGAAGCACTGGTGTAAATATTTTGTAATAAATGTATATATTTTTCTTTTTCTAAAATACTTCAGAGTCCTAAGTATATGAAAAGAATACATTTTTAAACAATATTTCATTCTGAATGGAATTAAATATTATACTTTTCACAGAACAGTTTCTCAGAATGGTTTAATTTGAATGAAATATTTTCACAAGTTTTCGTTAATTACATTAAGGAAAAAATTTAAGGTAATTCGATTTTATTCGGTCAAGGATTACAAAAATTAAGATCAAAATTTATTGTATTATTTAATATTAAAATTATGCATTATTTCTTTTCTACGGACTAAGCTTCTTTCTAAAATACTTTTTCAAATATGACGTGACTTTTTTAGCTTCTGAGGCATCTTTTAAATCGAAAATATATAAGTCAATAATAAATGCTTTATTCGGTCCATTTCAAATTACCAAACCATTTATTTTAATAGCGAAATACTTTAAATAGTACTTAACTTTCTTTGAATATTTCTGAAAAGGAATAAAATAAGAATTTTTTAAAAATATTATTTAAAATTTGTAACTGAGTTATTATAAAATGTAAGAGGATTAATTCGTTTATTTATACTTATCAGATTTTTTTATCCTTAACTTCAACAATACATATTCCAAAACTCTTCTTTACTACTTTTTTAAGTACGCATCTCATAGAATTTGCTTTACAATACCTTTTAACAGATTGCTTTCCAGCACGAACAATTCTTGCTCAAATAGTTTATAACGTATTTGTCAACAAGATTTCAGTTTATGTTTACAATTCAATGTTAAAGTTATTATATATTTAGATAATATTTATAAAATCATTATAAATTGACCGCACACGGTACTTCCGCCGAATTCGCAAATGTATCCTTCTTCTGTTCCACACATTTGTATAAAACTGTACATAATTTTACTCAAATGTGTGGTTACAAATCAAGGAAAAGTTGACTTATTGGCATATCTGTGTGTGTATTTATTAATTTTGACGATGATCGCAGCATTTGGTGGTAATATTTTTTTTATTAACCCAAATAAGTAAAACGTGTAAGCCCAAAGTGATTATTTTTCAGATATATAAAAATAAAATGATAGGTTTAAAATGAGCAACACTAAAGCCTCCCCTCTGAAAAATTTTAAAAAGTACATGTTACAATAATATGTGGATGTGAAAAATATTTATTTTATGAAAACATTTTGGCGTTTGGAACATAAAAGTAGCGAAAACTCTTTCAAGAGTATCGGAAGATGCGTACAATTTTAAAGGTACTTAAGGGTTTATTTATTTATTTTTTTTTTCTTTTTTCCCATTCTTTAAACTTAACATTTTTGCTTAAAATCTATATTTTTGTAGTTCAACAGCTTAGAATTTTATAAACCAAATTCATAATCAAAATCGCTGTTGTTAGTTATCGAAAAATAACCAAGATGTGATTTTTGCGTAACTGTCACTAAACTATACAAATTGCTATTATCCATCACACTATGAATGTTTCTTTTACGCGGAAGTGTCCCGTTTTTCGATTTGTATGGAACTGTCATGTGTCGAAATACTATCGAGCTTCTGAATGTAAACAAAAAGCACCCCATCTGGTGACCGAAGCTTCGGAGCAGTACTTCTCTTCTCGTGCAGGTTTGGCCACGCCTTCCTTTCTTACCTCCATGGTGTAACGTATGTACGAGCCAGAATCCCTTAGAAAATCCTCCAAGAAGGCATCTCTCTTAGGCAGATACCGGCGAGGCTTTGCCGTAATTTCATAAACCAAACCAAACCCTCTTTGTCCAAATAATAATATGCCTTCTTAATAGTTTTGATATTTTTCTTTATATACCTTTTCTTTCTTTTCTTGTTTTATATCGAAAAAAAGTATTCGGAAAGAATCAGCCCTATCAGCGGCCAAGCGGTAAAAATTCTAAGCACTGGTAATTCAAATTCCGGTGAACGGATTGGCTGTGCTAGAGTTTTCTTTGTTTTCCCTAACGTAAATATGAGCCAGTTTCCTCAGCATTTCTTCCTTTTAGGCAAATAGTGCTCGCGGATTGGATTATTCAATTATGGCAAAGCACACGAGGGCTGTCTGTCTAAAGGGAGGAATGCCTTCGTGGAGGACTTTCTAAGGGAAACTGGCTCGTATGCACGTTACACATGGGGAAAACCACGAAAACGCCCATGCAGCCAGCCCGTTCGCGGGATTCGAACCTCGAACCGAACTACCAGTGTTCAGCGTTTTTACGCTCGGCCGCTAAATAGTGCGCGTGAGTCTTGAAGTTTTTAAAATCCAGAAATATTCACCAGAGCTTTTGGAATTGAAATTCTTTTCGAAACAGCAAGGCTTTACATCTAAGTAGGTATTATTTTTATTTAAAATAAAAGAAAAATTGCGTTATTTTTTATGAAAATTTTGTTACATGTTTTATTTATTAAGAAATTTTAATGACTGTCCTTTTTTAGGTGTTATATTAAAAAGTGTAATTTTCAAATTCCTTCCCTGCCCTTTCAGGTTTAATTGTTGGTTAAATTGGTTTAATTTATGAAGCTTGATTTCATATATTGGAATTTAAAAGAATTACTTCTTTTAAATTTGTGTTGAAATGCGTAGGGAAGGAAAACAAAAAAATATTTTCTTATAAATGAGTGTTACCAACGTAAATAAATAAGGAAGTGCTTATTTTAGTTTTATCGATATCTTCTTTGTTTATATCGCTTGATTTTCATTTAAAGATAGGTTATCACGATCATCAAATTTTCATATTGTGCGTTTATCAATTAAGAAAACCTTTTTTAACTTAAACAAGACAATAGCGCAGGAATTAATTGCAGCCATAATTTTTGTAAAGTCATGATTGTAACTTTTTTTTTTTTTTTTTTTCTTTTCTTTTTTCCTTTTTCTGCGATTTAATGTTCGGAAAATCTTGAAACTTGGTAAAATTAAGATATGTTAGTCGTTTAAAAAACTTAATGTAATTACCGACATCAAAATGAAGGCATCAATGTAATTTCTCCATCCCTTCATAGGAAGCAACGGTAGCCCACTTATTAGGTGGCTCCACAATAAAAGAACCACCGCTTTCCAGCCTTAGTCTATAAACGGCCAGTGCCCGCTATTTAAAGCTCACAACACCAGCGTTGAAGTACTAGTTAAAGTTAGCGTTAAAGTACAACACTAGCATTAAAGTTCCCTTTTTAGCTTAATTATAGCTTGAATAAGTGAAGATTTTATCTTTTTCTACTTTTTCTTTACCTCTGGCCAGTATTTAGTTAAAGTTTTAATTTTAGTTTAACTCCAGTTTTTAATTAAATTCTAATTAACATTTTATCAAACATTTTTTATCTATTTTCAAATTTGGAAACATTAACTTCTATTTCGAATACATTATTTTTCATACATTACTTCCATTTTTACAATTCTATAGCAGTTAGCAGCTACATTTCTACAATATCATTTTCACACAGAAATTCCATTTTTAGAATCTTATAGCAGTTAGCAGATACATTTTTACAATACCTAACACAGTTCACAGCTTTAAGCTACACAACTGTACATAGTATCAGCGCCCTCTGTTTGCACAGTTAGCGGCTACAAACAACTCAACTTTAGCAACCTTTGAACTAGAATAATATGGTAACATAATAAATCGAAATTATTTAATTGCCTTTTTTGTAACATAGATTTATTTTATATTATTCTTTCAATTTTTGTTTAGAATTAGTTT